AAACCCTAATAAAACCCTAAAACCCTAAAAAAACTACTCCTCTCCAAGGGTCTTGATCCTAATACCTCATCACCGGAGTGGGGTACCCCATTTCACCGTGCTATTTATTTGGCTAGGAGGAGCATTGTCAAGGTCCTATTAGATGCAGGAGCCGACAAGACCGCGCGATCTGATTGCAGACAATTCCATAATCAAAGCCCTGGCGAAGTAGCTGAGTGGACGATTCAACGTTACCCTAACTCTCCTGAGTTGTGTTCCTCACTCGAAAATATTCTCGAGCTTCTTCAATCTCACGAGCGCTAGAATACAACTTCTAATTTCACTTTGTTCCCTTATATCCCATCAAGCTTTATAAGAGAGGAAAGTTGTACACCACGATGGAAACCCTACCTGGCCTGGTGAGGGCTATGGAATTCTCGACAACACATCCCACCGGCCCTTCAATCCCCTACAATCCTAGTAACTAGTATTTTGGGCGGAGCGCAATGGCACCTTTGCCAGTCGCGAGTAACCTTCACCGACCAAATGTATGGTTCGCGTTCTTAGCTTGGGGTCTCAATATCCACATTGTACTCTACCATGGTTCATCAATTGGGTCCCCTATACCATGACAATTGTACGGATCTTTACTAGCGCACCTGGCCCTGGGGTTCTGGCGCTGTGACCAACACGGAATGTTGCCGAGCTGACGGGGATTACTCGAGATGGTATATTGACCCCGTAAACCGTCACTCAAGCAAGGTTTCGTTAACATAGTAGTGTGCAGAATCCCTTGTCTTTGCTCTGCGGATGCGATACGTATATGAGCATGTGTTGTCGTAAGGGACTTCATTATCTCATTGAAGAACAAAGATATCGGTAACCATAGAGCGGACCAAAAGCTTTTGCGAAAGTGAGATACTTTAGAAAATTATTGGTTGTCTAGGATGATGCCAGGCAACACACACACACGATCAAGCTGAGGGAGTTCTTGGGGGTATGCATTGATTTCGATATAGCTTGCCTTTGGACATAATCATGTGTTCGGACTCCGATGTCAAGTTATGCACTTATTCTTTCCTCACCTGTTCCCAGTGCAAGTGCCAGGTTCTAGTACTATTTTGAACAGAGAAAAAGCGGTCATAACCCCAGTTACTCAGTATCAAATCCACATCATGTTATACTGTTATAATGTTATGTTTGATAGCTCATCTTTCTCATACCAGCAATAAGCCTGATCGTGATGACTCAAAGAAATGTTCTAGTATGAAAATTTTAAGTCAATGGTTTTCCTTCAGTCGTTAATCTCTGATTTAACTAATGCTACTATTTGCTTCCAAGAGTGAAATATCCAGATTGTGATAGGATAGCTGAGTAACCGAGTCATTGGGGCTATGACCATCGATATAGTGTATTACGATAATCATAAATTATAAGATTATTAATAGCTGTTCTAGTTTGATGAAATAAATATAAGATAAAAGATTGTAATTAATACACTACTGATTTCTCAAGAATCAGTATTTTGTATCGATATAAAATATCAATATTATTATCATATAAATTGTGATAGACTCCGTTGGCTTCGTGGGTTGGAGGCCAACGGGGTGACCTATTCTAGTGTTTGATAGACTCGTGAGGCCATCGACAGTGATCCTACCCTTTTCCGCCGTGTGCAACATGATAGCCGAGCTGGTTAAGCTACTGATCCTCATGGATCAGTCTATTCTGTGGATATAGGCTACCTTTGTCGCTACTATACTAATCTACAGCGTTTCGTGTTTGATTCCTTACCTAGTAGACAGGTTTTCTACCCTGACAAGTAGACCCTATCACAAATATATTTAAGGAAACTGAGAGTTGCTTACGACTTGTATTGGAGAAATATATTTATAGCATATGTTAGAGAAAAAAATTTTTGTTTGAATCAGAAAATATAATGATAAATTTAGAAAGAAGGTTGATAAACAACTTGAACTTAATAGACAAACTTAACGATTAAATGAAAATTGTAGGCCTCGAATAGACTGACTTGGGATTATCTTGGAAACAGCTTAGCCGGGCGATCCTAGCCCCTGAGCTTTCTGGGCGAGCGCTGCCATGTCAACGTATAGATGGTTTTAACTAAACATATCAATACTGCTGGATAGATGTTACCAGTATACTTAGTGTTAAACGCAAAGATATATATTCAAGCTTGATATGAAGGAAGCCTAGTGATTTTTTGGAGGATTATTATAATTTACAGAGCTGCTGGCCGAGCGCCTTCCCTTGGTTCTTTGCTGGGAACTGTATGTCATTCATCATTCCAATTCTGGCTAGTGCCATAAGCAATCTTTAGTGGCAAATACCAGCGTGTTTGACAATTCCTTCATGACAAACATTCTTTCATGACAAACTAATGTATAAAGCACATCAATAGCCTACGTTTTCGAACTAGGCAAAAAAAGAACTCCGTCCTTGAATGTTCTCTCAGCATTTTTTATGATCAAAAATGCGTTCGTCCCTGTCGACTTTTGAAATAGCCCCTAATGGGATTGTCGAAAATGAAGAATGTCAAAAGCATTCCCTCAATTCAAAGCATGAATCGAATGATACCAGTCCACCTGATGGAGGGATTCGAGCTTGGCTTCAGGTGGTCGGCTCTTTTTTCTTGTTCTTCAATACATGGTGAGTATTAATCTGATTCTCGAGGACAAAGCCCTAGTAGAACTGATAGTAACAGGGGTATTATCAATTCATACGGTGTTTTCGAGACATTCTATGAAAAAAATCTGCTTCGGGGGACCTCTCCTTCAACAATCTCATGGGTTGGGTCTTTGCAGTCATTTATCATCATGTTTCTGGGGGTTTTGACTGGGCCCATCTATGACGCTGGTTTCGTGATGCCTTTATTATATATCGGCTCATTTCTTGTTGTGTTTGGTCACATGATGCTCAGTCTTTGTCAAAGTTTTTGGCAAGTTCTTCTAGCGCAGTCATTCTGCGTTGGTATCGGAGCTGGCCTTCTCTTCGTTCCGAGCATTGCGATCCTCTCCACTTACTTCACAAGGAAGCTCCCTTTCGTGGTGGGAATAGCCGCATCGGGCTCGAGTATTGGTGGTGTCGTTTACCCGATCATGATACATATTCTGCAAAACGAAGTTGGATTTGCGTGGTCCGTCCGCATTGCTGGCTTTGTCGCTCTCTTTGGGCTAGCTATCTCGTGCCTAGTGCTGAGAGTACGCGCACTTCCTGCTGCCCGCCGCAAGCTTGTCGACTGGCAAGCGTTCCGTGAAACACCTTATGCACTGTTCAATATCGGCATGTTCTTGTGCTTCATGGGACTCTACACCCCCTACTATTATATCCAGTCTGTCGCTAATAGCGAGCATATAACTTCCGCGAATTTGGCTTTCTATCTCCTGCCGATTGTGAACGCAACTTCGACTTTTGGACGTTTGGGCATTGGTTACTTTTCCCAGATGACCGGGCCACTCAACATTCTCGTTCCATGCGCTTTGGCGTCTGGAATTCTTGTCCTCTGCTTAATCGTTGGTGTATCGCAGGCTTCCATGTTGGCAATTTCTGCCTTGTACGGCTTTTTCTCTGGATCGCTTGTTTCACTTATGGGTCCCATCCTTGTGATCCTTTCCCCCCATCGTGGTGTGATTGGTACTAGGATCGGAATGTGTTTCACTCTTTTGGGTATTGCCTTGTTGATTGGAACCCCAATCGCCGGCTCTATTCTTGACTCCCATGGTGCAAATATGGTTTGGGTTTACAGCGGTGTCTTGACACTGGCTGGTGGCTTTGCGATAGCGATTAGTCGTATGAGTCAATCGTTTTGGAAGCTCTTTGCGAAAATTTGAGTTGGGCGCTGGAACTACTGGGTAATGTGACGCTTCGCATGCGATATTTGGTGGTCGGTACAGTTAGGTTCCACTGAATTTCGCACCCCAGGCTCCGCCCTATGAGTACATAATATCCTGCCCCCCAAAAAGCTATCTCATGAGTGGAAAAATGACATTCGTAGCCCTAGGTAGACAGAGAACATGTAACAAGGAGGTTCTACGCTCATAGGACTATCTAGGTTCATTATTTGGGGCGGAATTGCAGTCTCATCCTGACCTGCTTAATCTAGCCTGTCGTAAGCCATATCAGGGGGTAGGAAAATATTATGGGAGGTATGGACTGGGGTGTACGAAAATCAGTGGAATGTCACTGTATTACGCTGACCCCCTCACCTCCATATCGACCTGCAAATTCAAACTGGCCGCATCGGTCACTATGTCCCGGCGCTGAATAACGCACTAATGGTAAAGCAGGTATGCAGCGTATGGAGCAAAGAAAGGGTCGATTCGAATGGTTCAATTGGGGTAGTAAACAACTAGGAACATGCAGTGGAACGAGGTAGGATGGCGAAGTAGAGGGGGTGGCTGTGAGGAAGGCGCCCCTGCCGCCAGAGCCGCAACAAAGTAGGTCCGAAGACCCATTAAACACCTCAACAGCGCTTACCTTACTAACTGTAAAAGGTTAAGGCCACTGAAATCTAAAAAGACTGAACCGCAGCCGTATTACTACTATGTACACTGATGGCCGAGGAGTAGCGCTTACATATCTAGCTCGTTATGTAAGGGTATGCCAAGATATTTTACAACGCCAATTTTTGCGGATTGGAGATTGAATTTCATCTTCCTAACCTTAAAAAATGATTTCTCGGACAGTATGTAAAGTTCGGTTTCCATGAATTCGGAGCAGGATCTAAACTTTTTCATGTGTACCAAGTTGTTGTTGGGGCACTTTGGACCCAGTATGCGCAAAATATGATATCTCTCTCATATTCGTTGTTGCTTCGGGTATTAGCTTTGGTATTATGCCCACCGTCCGCACAGCTAGCATTACCCAACCCGATTGTCAAGTCAGGTGTGTGGCACCGGCCTGCAGATTTTCTCTCCCGCCGAACCCAACTAATCTGCGAAGGACGCCGCATTATTATGATGGACCAAAGGATCATTACCACCCCCGGGAGGCTACGGATACTGTAAGTTATGGACAGGATGATCAAGAAGATTCGGTCGGCACGTGCGAAGCCAGCTCCGTACCCAGTCGTCAGGAGGCAGTTGCTAATATAGAAACTAGTATAAAAGCTAGAGCATTAATTGGCTCTGCCCCTAAAAAAGATTTTAAAGTGAAAAACTGTGACTGACACAATTAACTCCGAAATAGAACTTGATGGTCAATTCTCGCAGCAATAGCGTGTTTATTATACATTACCCTCGTAAGTAATTAAGCAGGCAGCCCTGCATGCTTGATTGGCGCTAAATGATCCGGGAGGTCGGCTAATCATCCGCATGCTCCACGCCCGTCGACAAGTGTACAATCTCTGCGTCAATTAAACTTGACAAATTCAGATAGGGCTTCATGATTTCTTGACCCACCAGCAAGCTTTCTGGGTTACCATTCTATACGTTAGCTCATTTGTGGCGATAAAATCGAAGCCTTTTAGTGTTCTGAGGGGCCCATTCCACTTGGAGATCATTCGATGACGCGCTAGCCTGAATAGGCATCAGTGGATTGGAAACCGCTGACCGGGTCGGCAATAAGGATCAGAGCACGATGACGATGACAAGTTGAACCCGTGTCGAGCTGATGTCAATCTAATGACTTGGATGCACAGTGATTACAACATAAAGTAGCTGTCTCGCCTGTAGCTTAGATGCGTGGAAAACTACCTTACACCTACCCTTGTCTTATCGTCCGTGATGTCTGAAGCAACCCCAGTGTTTGAGGGATGGATGGGCCTCGACAAAAAATCAGCTCGGGGCCAAATGGTTTGGCAATCCTTCGAGCCAAAGACGTGGGAAAAATCGGACTTGGATATTCGCATCACTCACTGCGGTGTCTGCGCTTCCGATATTTGTGTGTTGCGAAGCGGATGGGTAAGTTACGCTACATGGCCATAATTCCTGGATAGTCTGCTCACGTACTCGGATAGCGTCCAACTCCATACCCGTGTTGTGTTGGCCACGAAATTGTGGGCACTGTCGTTCGAGTCGGATCGCAAGTGAAAGGACTTCAAATCGGCGACCGAGTGGGTGTCGGCCCCCAGAGCGATTCATGCCGCGGTCGTGTGGACGGCCATTGTGTTGAATGCAGTACTGGAAATGAGAAATACTGTACCAAGTTGTGGACAGGTACATATGCAGGTCGTTATCTTGACGGGACCATGTCCTATGGCGGATATTCGCTGTACAATCGGGTCCCTGCCCACTTCGCAGTCAAGATCCCGGAAAAGATTTCTTCTGCTGCTGCTGCCCCGATGCTGTGTGCTGGGGCAACAGTTTATGCACCACTTAAGCAGTATGGTTGTGGACCAGGCAAGAAGATTGGTATTATAGGAGTCGGGGGGCTGGGGCATTTCGGTATCTTGTTTGCAAAGGCATTGGGCGCAGATTGGGTCTCTGCCTTCTCACGCAAGGCTTCAAAGCGCGATGATGCACTGAAATTGGGAGCCGACACTTACATTGCGACGTCTGAAGATGCAGGCTGGGTGACCGAGCACTCAGGTTCCTTGGATATCATCGTTTCGACTGTTTCGTCCAACACGCTTCCGATTACCGACTACTTGAAACTTTTGAGACCTAATGGTACTTTTGTGCAAGTGGGAAATCCGGAGGATGGCCCTTTCACATTCCCTGCAGGGGCGTTGATTGGCTCGGGTCTTAGGTTTTGTGGTTCGAAAATTGGGAACCCCAATGAATTGCGTGAGATGTTTGCGCTGGCAGCGGAGAAGAATGTCGAGCCGTGGACTGAAGAACGACCAATGAAAGAAGCAAATCAGGCCATTCTCGATATGGACCAGGGTAAGGCTCGGTATCGTTATGTTTTGGTGAACTGAGCTTACTGGGTTGATGTTTCCTCTCAATGCTCTGGCATGGTCTATCTACTTCACAACCTCTACCGGGTGATGGCTCTCGAGCGCATTTCGTGGAGTTCCATTATTCTAGAGCTGTTCATCTGAAGTGATTAGCTTGTGAGTGGTATAGTCTCCTCAGGTCATTAGATTTCAAATGCATTCTATCTTAAAATCAATGAGGTCACCGTCCACACAAAGTCTCTCCATGTTATATAACGGTGCTTGCTAATAGTAGTTTTTCAATGGTGTATACTTCATTTGGGATGGAACACATATAGGTAGGCATATCAGACTATCCCGATGAGCTTCGAACGATGGATTATATCGGAACGCTATTCTATAGACAAACCATAGTAGACTAAAAAACAGGTTACCGAAATAGGAGCAATTTTTCACCTCGCTGGGCACGCCACCTATTGGTCGATCTGAACAACTCGGGGCAGTCTTGGACCGTCCAACCCCACTTTCTGACAAAGGCTTCCGACATCTCCCAGTTTGCTATATCCCAAGGCGGACCCCAGACTAGCAATGCTGGGTCGTTCTCATCAGGATTCCAGAAGCCCATGATATCAATGCAAAGCTGTTCATCATCATAATTATTGCCAGCAAAGATCAATCGATCGCGCATTCTAGGATGAGGGAAGAAGTCTAACCAAGGGTGATGTGGCACAGCACGCTGTATGGCAGTGGGCTGTAGGTAGTTTGGAACAAGTCGGTTGAAAGCCTTTGGCTCAAACGTGCAAAATGGAGACACTGCATCAGGGTGCATCCATCCCTTCACATCCATACCAAGCGCATTCATGTTTTCAGCGAATGCATTGTATACGTTAAGTTTGACCAACGTGAGTAAGTGGTCAACTTGTGGGGTACCTTGCACATAGTCACGACGCACAGTCAATGCGAATTGGTAGGCGCGCCTTCTCTCGCAGGGAGGCGCCAGGCGGCAATGAATTTCCCCTTCATGTTCCTTAGTTTGAGAGGAATTATTGAAGAGGTAAAACGATTGAGCCGATTTATGAACATCCGGTGCTGTATCGCTCTCACTTCTGAATTCCTGTTCGTCGCCACCCCCAAGGGTGCCGATGACCTTCCAGCGCTTAGGAGGAGTAGGGCCATGATTTTTTTGAGCCTTCCTCTTGCCTATAGATAGTTAATCATCACTGAGTGTGTCATACATTCTCCTGTAAGAAGAAGAAGCTTACGATAAGCACGCTGGTTGACACGATTCTGTATCCTACGCCTCTCAGCCCTTATGTCCCAGTGCAAAAGCTCGTCCCTATCACGCTTTTCTCTTGTCATTCGTACAAGAGTTTGTTGAGCACCATTTTCTGACATGGTGTAGTATATATTAATAGATCTTGGTAAAAGGTGGGATGAAAGGAGAGGAGAAGGGCGGGTTATGGCAGTGGCCGTGCGCAGCAATTCGCCTCCTTGGCGATGATCGCTTACGGCGCTAACCAGAAACGGTAACCACCGAGTGGCGGAATTACTGGGTGCGAACGTTCCAGGCCGAAAATATGTATGCAAAAGGTCAGCATCGGTCAGCACCACTACTAAGACCATGCTATCTCCGTTGCTTCAGGCCAAGGCGGTCAGGTTGACTTTGTAGAATAGGCAAAATAGTCATTAAATCGGGCCTTATTCCATCTACATCTAATAATGCATACCCAATACCAATAAACTATGTAATGCACAGCCCGTTATTATCTTTGTAAAAGTTTGGAAATAACTTGCGTCGGCCCTTAGCTTTCTCTTCTACATTTTATACGAGTTTTATTCCGACAATTCTCCCCCCTCATTCAGGGCGTGACCTGGCCAGAAATACCTTCTAATATCAGCGTCATTAATCTGCCTATTTCACTATTCAGTCGACTACAGATGCTATTATAAGGATTTCCGTAGCAAGTATTTATAGTACAGATCTACATACCTCTTATCATTATTATGGAGGTCCGACAATGCTTTGGGCTATACATTATAATATTCTCGGCTTTACCACTGATTTTGGGGGTGCTGTCAGCAATTTCCAGGTAGGAGATCCTGTATACATCTCAAACATTATTTATCGTGTCTAAGTGGTCACAGAGCCTTGCACATTTTTGCTTTTGACGTGGGGCTAGACCGGGGGTGAGGGGGGCGTTCTTGGACGGCTATCAAAGTAAAATTCGCTTTACACCCTCAATTCCTCCTATTAGATATGTTTTACCCATCCAGGCGAATATAGAGGTTTTTTGGAGTGTGGATTTCTCGATTTACTAGTCGTGATTTGTGATATCAGCTGAAATTCATGATTCCCGTGGCTTTATAGTTCCTACTTTATAGAAGACGTTCCTTGGTGTTCTAGACAAAGCCTTGCTTAACTCGTGGATAGGTTCCCTGCGTGACCCAAGCGGTAGATAAAATACGCCAGGTGTCAAAATGCTGGTTATAAAGAGAAACGGTGTCTCAAAGGGCAGTACTACATGCCGTTACTCGGGACCTGTCATTTACAAGGCCAAATGATAGTCATGATCTTAGGTTAAACTTGAACTGCAGAAGATTTCATTGCGCGGATTGAGTTCCCCGAATTCTCAAGCCAAGTACACCTGTCGCATGTCTAGATAAGATACCCTGCATGCAGGTCGAATGAAGCATTGTCAATTCTACCTAAATAGTATGCCCGTCAAATCCGAATCGTATTCTACCTGTTCATACTAGGCGGACGAGCTCACTCTTCTGTCTCTTTTAGAGGAGCCGTATCCACATACAGATAGGGCACCATACTCTTCGGGTGACGGTCGCCCTGGATGTCCGCTGAGAACGCAACTCTGTTTACTGCCTCCATATCATCTTCGGTAAGCTCAACACGAAGACTACCGATGTTTTCGTCCAGATTTTGGGACTTCGTAGTGCCGGGTATTGGGATGATTCTGTCATATAGTGCAGATATCCAGGCCAAAGTAAGTTGACCGACAGAGCATTGCTTCTTCAGGGCCAACTCCTCGATTTCTCTTACGATAGCCAGATTTTTGTCGAAGTTTTCTTTCGAGAATCGGGGTAAGATGCGACGACGATCATTTTCATCAAGATCATCTGGCCTCTGGAGCTTGCCAGTTAAGAACCCACGGCTGAATGGTGAATAGGGAATAACTGCAACCCCAAGCTCACGGCATGCATCCATCAGACCATTCTTCAAGCTGTCAATGGCGAAAGGAGACAGCTCAATCTGCACGGCTGCAATAGGATGAATGCGATGGGCGCGTCGTAGAGTGTCAGCAGAGCATTCACTCAGTCCAAGATACTTAACCAGGCCTTCATCCACCAATTTCGCCATTGCAGCAACGGTAATTTCAATCGGTTGAATGGGATCAATCCGATGGCAATAGTATAGATCGATCGCATCGCCTTTCTTCAACCCAAGTCGGTCACGGCTTTTCAGACACGCCTCACGCACATATTCTGGGCTGTTGTGGATGGATGATGGCTGGCCGGGGTGTTGTTTGATGCCAAATTTGGTCGCAAGGAAAATATCATTGCGCTTGCCGCTTCGGCGGAACCACCTGCCAAGGGAATGTTTTCATTAACGGCATGTCGCGAGAGCGTCGTGATCCAAGCTTACTTAGCGAGGATGTCTTCATTGTCAGCATAGACATCAGCTGAGTCCCAAAAAGTAACGCCCTTCGCGAGGGCGTAGTCCAGGAAGTTCAGACGATCTTCATCGGGCAGCCTCTTGTCGTAGAACATAGACAAACCCATCAAGCCAAGACCTAGGGACTCAATTATGTTGGTCTGGGATATTATTCCAGCAATGTTCAAGGTCTATACGCACCTTGTGCAGATACGAGTGGCCCATTCTCTCCTAGCTGTCTTGTCGATAGCATGGCCATGTTCATGTATTGGGTAGGTGGGAGCCTGGAAGGGTGTGGGTAGATCACGGAAGTGAGATGATTGATGCTTGACTTACATATGTGCAGAGAACTTGGAATTTAAACCTTTCCGAGTTTCTAATATCATGAAAGCTCTCTGAAATCCGCTCTCTGAAATCCGCTCTCTGAAACCTGTACTCCTTCGTCATTGACCCGCATGGCCCGTCCTTCAAATATTAGACGGCGAATGCTGAGTGATTACTTGACTAGCCGAATTGGGTAAGGTTGCAGATTTAGCTCTCAAGTGAACCACAGAAATTGCTTCTATTCATTGAGGGAGTGGAGATGCGACAATCTAGAGAACTCTGAATACGATAGGAGTCCTGCTACCCCTGCTACCCGATACCAAAAATATTTGAAAGGTTTCCCCAGGCAGAGAGCCATTTTTGGCGTTAGCACTAACCACGCCCATCTCAAAAACTCCAACTGGCGTAAAGACTGGTAGCAAACAGTCGCTTATGGCACTACCCGAAAATTCTAAACCAGTTATGTTACTTTTCTATCGTTTAGTGCAGTGCTCTTTTTGCTCTGACCGCCGCATTATGGGCATGTCCATACATCCCCACTTTTCGATGATGGGGAAGAAAATATATATTGGAATACAATGCGTTAGAGGGTATGTTGCGAAATTCTTATGAGCCATCTGCCCCTTTCCCTATGCCAGAATCCTCACTTATAGCATTTTTCTAAACTCTGAATAGTGAGTGCTTCACAGGACAGCGCGATGCAACTCCGACACAATTGTCTTGGTACATGGAGCGGTATGTGGCACTTCCTTGTGCTGGGCACCAGCGACTCCGACAAATTTTCTGGAGACGTCAACCACCTTTGCCCGGGAAACGGCACTCATGATGACCCGTATATTATATCATGGGATGAAAATGATGCATTAAATGCCCGCAATTATGGTGCTGGGAGAAAAGGCATCATTATAGCTATTTCGGGCATGTCAACCCTCTCAGTAGCTTTTGCATCGAGTGCTTATTCGGGAGATTTGTCTGCCATTTGCCATTATTTTGGAGTTTCTGATGAGGCTTCGACACTGGGCTTATCGCTTTATGTCCTGGGGTTCGCGATAGGGCCGCTACTATGGGCCCCACTGAGTGAGGCGTTTGGCAGGAGAATCATGTTCTTAACCACCTTCAGCCTTTTCACCATCTTCAATATTGCGGCAGCCGTTTCAGCTAATTTCGCTTCGCTGATCGTTTTCAGAGCTTTGGCCGGAACGTTCGGCGCTGCACCTCTTACTAACTCTGGAGGGGTTGTGGCTGATCTATACGATGCGGAAACGAGAGGGCTTGCCGCGGTCTTTTACTCATGCGCCACCTTCCTCGGGCCTGTCCTTGGTCCAGTCGCAGGGGGATTCCTTGGAGAGACTCAAGGCTGGAGATGGATCGAGGGCTTGCTGGCATTCTACTCTGGAATTATGTTAATCCTCGGTATCGTTGCTGTTCCCGAAACCTTCAGTATCGTTCTTCTTCGGCGACGAGCCGCTATGCTCTCGATGCAGACGGGAAATTTTTATGTTACAAGTGATGATCATCGCAACCCTCCAGGGTCTCTAATAAGGAGATTTCAGGAAGCGACGAGCCGTCCTTTGCGCCTGCTCTACAAAGAGCCTTTAGTGATTGTCCTCGCGCTCTACATGTCTTTCATCTACGGCACCACCTATCTATTGCTAGCAGCACTACCTATCGTTTTCCAGCAAGTCCGCGGATGGAGCCCAGGGGTAGGTGACCTTCCATTCATTTCCATTGCGATAGGCATGTGTTTTGCTACAGTTTTCATGGTCTTCATCAACCGTCAATACGCAAGAAAATCCAGAGCATCCCAGAGTGGCCAGCGCCCCCCAGAAGCACGCCTGCTTTCGGCCCAAGTTGGGGCAGTTTTCATTCCCAGCGGTCTCTTTCTTTTTGCATGGACCAATTCTCCCTCGGTGCATTGGGCTGTTTGTATGGTGGGAATCGCTATGTTTGGATTTGGCAATATCTGTGTTTCATTAGCATTGGTCAACTATCTCGTCGATAGCTATGTGGCATATTCGGCCTCAGCTCTTGCCGCTGCGACGGTAATGCGATCACTTTGTGGGGCGGTGTTTCCGCTTTTCACAACGTATATGTACGAAAGGTTAGGGATTCACTGGGCAAGCAGTGTACCGGGCTTTCTGTCTCTGGCTTGTCTTCCAGCTGCATTCATATTATCCAAGTATGGACCCCAGATACGCCAACGTTCCAAGTTTGCTATCGCGATGAGCGAGGAGAAGTAGCATTCATAAAATATTACCATGTGTTGCACAATGACATCCTCGTGGCGTCTTTCTACAATAAAGGAAAGGTTTATCCAAAGCTCAACAGATAAAAAATGAAGCTTATTATGACATCACCCCAATTTAGGACTGCAGTATATCACGGCACCACTCAAAAGTATCTGGGATTTCGTTAGTCAGCTAAAGCAGACATGTCCGTTTTCGACCTAGAACGTGATATAGCATTGCTGTAAGTATTAGTTTAACATTTTTTTAAATCCAGTTTAATAGTATATATACCAGTGAGGCTAAGGTAACAGGGACAATAAAGTGATCCTAGGGTTTGACAATCATATACAAAGTAATAATAAGTATTATAGAGTAGTAAGATCAGGAGTGAGCATACTTTAATACTAATATTTGTTATTGCCTGATGGCCGCTCTTGCCCGCTGTAGTGGTGAGCCGCTGCTTTCAACACTGTCCTCGACTCCTCATGAGTAGGAGGGACTGATGAATCAGAAAGAATTGGCTTGAAAGCATTGAATGGAGTTGTTGTCAATAAAATTATGCTAATATAAGTTACTGATAAATTATTCTATATAATCAAATCTAATGTGCTACTGTTACATAAGCTAACTTGATTGCAGTTCATATTATTTACTGTGCTGCTTATTATTCTAATCCTCAAAGCGGTACTCTTCTGAGCTTCTCTCCCCTACCTGCAAAGTTTGTACCCACGAAAATGTAATAAATAATACTAATATCAAGAAATATATTTCTCTTTTACCTGAAAAGAAATTATCAGATGACGCACCAGATAAACTTATATACTCTCCGATATTGGCAAAGAGTATATTAGTATAAACAGCAAAAATCGCATATTTCTTTGTTTTTATCTTGTTTTCATATCTAATAAAAGATCACGATTGTATAAATAGTGGAAACCTGATTTTTAGAACAGTTAGAAGAAGACATCAGTGGCTTTTTAAATAGTATAGTAAATATACTAGACAGCAACTTGCTAATCTTCTGCTATAATAGATCTCCAGTTGACACCATCATGGCCGTTTAACCAAGCGGGTGATCCCAGATGCTCCTCAACCTCATGGACGCGCGGGTTAGCTCCACCATTCGCTGCGGGATAGCTCTGGAAGGACAGGGCAGGTTCGCCTCTTTGTGCGCGCCAGTAGTTTGTCGATTGAAGCAAGCTACGACTGCCACGAACAACCCAAGGCCACTTCTGCACAAATGCTTCGGTCACCTCCCAACCGTGCGGATCCCATGGCTCTCCCCATACAATCACACCACCGTGCCCGCTGCTTACGACTTGTAAACCTCGCATATCGCGACAAAGCTGCGCTGCATTATACGTAGTCTCAGGTTGACGCAGTAGACTATCACGAAGTTCGGCCACAGGTAAGAGGTCAATCCATGGATGATGGTGGACATTGCGTTGCAGAGCGGTGGGTTGCAGACTGGCTGGCAAGGCGTGGAAGTACGACTCGCTGATACTCAGTGATGTGAGCGAGGATCGAGCGCTAGGTGCCATGCGCTCTGATGTGTATCCAAGAATTTTTGCATTAACCACTAGGGATCGTGTAATATTGAACTGGACGAGGCCTGGGAGAGGTTCGGTGTCCAGGCATCTTTGCTCATAGCGCTGTGATATCCATGACGAGAACTGATTGATGAACTGCTCCGTCTCCATGGAATCTGGCTGACAAGCCGTAAAGGAGACTATCTTGTCTAGTAGCGGAGAGCGATTGTTCTGCACCAATTGATCCTGCCTGAGCAGATTAAGCTGCGGGTTATTTAGGATGGTGTTTCCTGAATCGTGGCGTGCTGGCCTGCATGGTGCGGAATAGACCAGGAGTTTAGGCTTTTTCCGCTGCCCTTTCGATTGCCGCAAGAGTTGGTGCTGTATGTTAGTGATGTCTCCGTCTAGCAGTCACTGGTGTGGGGTCGACATACGCCTGGCTCTTTGATTGACCCGATCTTGCAACTTTTTCCTCTCCTTAGGGTCAGTTATGCCTGTCCAATCATCTCTGTCGCCAGCTTGCAGCTGCTGAGGCATGAACTGCAGTGGAATTTGCTGCGCAGACATCGTTAATCTGGAGGCTGTACTTCCCATGATAGAAGGAAGTTACTGGTTGCATCATGCAGAAGATCTGCAAAAAGGGATGATTTGTAATACATGGTGCCGACGGGCGTGATGTCATTGGTTCCTATCCTACCCGGAGATAAACATGATAGAAGACTATATACACATCCTGACAGAATAACTTGACAATTTAGGGTCGAGTGTAAAGAATTGAAAAATAGACGATATTTTCAAAGATATGATATATATTACTCCAGGAAATGCCTGGTTCGCGAACTAGTTTCTATATCCGAGGTCTTGATCCGCACGATGAAGTTCGTCTACAGCGTGAGATAAGAAAAATGTTCTCAGGTCTGTAGCTTGTACACTCTCGTAACGATCATTATCTAGTGTATCACCCAACTGGGTTTCAGGCTGAACGCACCAGTATGCAAAACATCTGTAATAAAAGATGAGTGTTGAGCAGGCGGAACCGCTTCAGTCAGTTACTTACTTTGGTGCCCAGCTCATCACATCACTAGGACTTTTTCTGAACGAGTCCAGTACCGTCGCGTGTAGCTCTTCGATAGATCCCCGGCTCACAAGGTTGAGTGGGGCAGTATAGACATCGTCAAAGCAGTCTTTGATCTCAAGGATAGTTTTGCGGTCACCGCGGACTATACTGGTAAGCAGAGCTCATAAGACGTAAGACAAAAGCAATTGTCGTAGGCTGGCAATCGTTCAGACTTACATCTCAGTACTCCAACTGCACTTTTATCCAATGCAACCGCCGCTGTGTAAGCAGCTGCGGTCTCGTAGGTTGTTAGATCCCATGTCTCCTCGCCCGTGCCCCAGAAAGAGATTGAACGGGTAGTGCGATCCCAACATCCAAAGAACTCGCTCCAGAACGTCTCCATCAAGCCACCTGTTAGGATATGGACTCCTGCAACTGTTCCTTTTGAGGCTAGGAGATACTCCCTAATAATCCGCGCTGAATCTTTCGGAAAAATAGCATTGGCCGGTATGTTCGTGTAATCCACAGCGAAGTCACCAGCAATGTACCGAGGGACATTTAATTCTTCACAAGCGTCTATCAGGACCTTTTGTCCCCGTACCATCACTTCCGTGCTGCCAAAATAGCAGCAAATAACCACGTTGGCTCCCTTAACAAACAAACGCGCTGCAGCCCTGTCATCGAATTCGCCTTTGATTACCTCGACATTCCTTGCCAGCAGAAGAGAATGCGGCAGCTTCTCCGGACTCCGACAGTAGCCTCGGATATATATGTCAGGATACGCCTGCAGCGATCTGGCTATACACTGCGCAAATTTTCCCGTCAGCCCAGCGATAGCTACTGTGGTAGGCATTTTAATTGAGCACGGACAGATAGGAAACGTCGAAGGAAATTGACAAGGAGGGAGAAATGTGAACGAATCACGGATAGATCGAGCTTTATATATCTTGGAATTTGTTACGTTTACGTTAGTTACGAGAAAAGAGGTGGATACTCCCCCATGAAAGGAATCTGGTATTTGTCATCGAGTATATCGGCTGATAAATCGGCGTGCGCAAATCCCTGATCAACGAGCCAATTGTCTCTCCTGTCAGTATGTGGGTGTCCATATCTCTTCATGTCTGCTTCAAGGCAGCCTTAATGATCCTCTCTTGCTTACAGTAAAATCTACTACAATGATGTACTAGGGAATACTTCCGGTTCTTAGGAGAGAGATTCTACTTTGGCCTAGCGTAAAACCTCAACATAACTGATGCAATTTATCTCGAAAAGCCTAACCGAGCAAATGTGCACTTCTATGTCCTAGTTCGATACAACTGTTACAGTTTCGCCATAACTATTCATAGACACAGGAAAGTAGTCCCCCTTCAGCCGATACACATCCTTACCAGCTACTGAGCCTCCACTCCTGATGAGACGAGCCGCTTCTCAAGGAAATTCGGCTCCCCAAATGCTTGCTTGACCCCCTCTCGTCCGATGACTCGCAAGTACCATTGGACTGTCGAAGGATACTGGCACTGCAAATCCGCATCTACAACCTGTCCATAGCCCCAGACCATCGCCGCTGCAACAGAAAGATCAGCCATGCTAAGATCACCTGATGCCACAAATTCGCGGCCTTGAAGGTGTGCCTCCAGGACACTGAGGGAGACTTCCAGCCGGGAATAGGACCTCAATTCTAGAGCTTCATCAAACCCTGCCATGCCATAACGCCATAGAACCATATTTTGCAACGGTTCGAATAGCTCATGATCAGCAAATTCAGTCCACTGACGAATCAGAGCTCGCTCATCCGCGGAGGAGCCTAGGAGCTGAACGCTCGCGGGACCACTTTCAGCGACATATTGCAGAATGGCATCCGATTCGAAGAGACTCAGGCCGGTAACACTTCTGAATGCCGGTACCTTGCCTAGTGGGAAGTCAAGTAAGAACTCGGGCGACTTGTTTGTCTTGGTCATGATGAATTCCGGGGCAATATCCACCGTACGCCCATTCAAAGCTGCAGCTGCTTGAACCTAAGTCTTCTATTAGATCACCAGTTCTATGTTGTGTAAGGCATGTATGAGGCATAGATACTTTCATCACCCGAGGATTGAACGGGTATGTGTAGATCGTTCCAATAGAAGTCATTGGTGATACTTTAGCTAACTTTGCCGGTCTGCGAATTGAACTTGGGACAGTGAGTCTTGACGTTGATCTCGGCCATGGATGCTACTTCCTTATAAGTTGCTTCTTCTGAGCTGCTGAATAATGCAATAGCTACTTCTCAGTGTTTCATAATTACAGGACAAATGCAGAACTTCGAAATGCTGAATTTTGACATGGGGAAGTTCGATTTGTAATCCGTTCTATTGGCCGAAAGATCATCTTTTTGTCGGATCATATTACTGTGGCGCTTGAAGGCAGTAGTTGACAGAACACTTCAGAATGATAGGCTCGCCGCTGTGGATACGCCATGACCAACATTGTAGGACCATGGATCCTACCCGAATTTCGCTAGTGCTAAATAGGTAGCATTACTTTTGGTTCGGATGTCAGTAACTTGCATTAGCGCCAAACCTAATTTTGGACCCATAATGTAAGTCGTCCTTCGTGTCAATAGTTGGTAATAGAGTAAGTTCTATTTCCCCTTAGTATCTGGTTCTGAAAGTCAAGAATCCTCACTGCGCTATTTTTCCGATATGTTCGCCGGAAGAAGTACCAAAACAAGTGAAATATCTGGTAAGTTGTGTTAGACCTCATTCGGGACTAGTACAGCTTCCCATACGATTGAATAAGTGTGGACAAACCCAGTGGGACAGGATGAGATTCTACTGAGACTGGGAACAACAGGAGCCATACTTACTGGTTAATGCCAGTATAGTATATCCTTTCTATTTCTAGATTGTTGTTTTCTTTCGACGTTCACCATTGGTGCCCCATGGAACTACCGTGCTAGTCATTCCACTATTATCTCTGTACTGGTCTTCCGTTGAGAGCCGTTAGGAGGTTGGCAGTTTCGCACTAGTCTAGGAATGTTTGACTACTAACTTTCCCGACTATCTACCAGATGGTCGGCGAAGAGCACACCAAGCAGAGGTTTGATCTCCTTGCGACACGCACTACGGCCCACCAGAATGTCCAATGCTCACAATCCTCGCCTCCTCTCAAGCAGCATCTAACGGTCCGTGGCTCCCTGACCAGAATTTCCTCTGTATGACAACGAAAATCCCCCCCGGCGCCCACCCAAAAGAAGGTAGGTAAGAAGATACGCTATTATTAACAGGGTCCCGTCTGACGTGAGGTTCCGCAATAGATCACCCCAACGGAGTTACCTTATCACCGCCACCTACTATCGGGTCTGGTTCCCTGTCGGGGGTAAATGGAACTTAACACCGTTGCTTACTCTGTATCCTTCGTTTAGTTGCTTCTGTATGTTTTGAAGCGTCTCTGCTTCCAGAACTCGGCCATAATCGAACGCTACTGCTGGAGTGGAGACGATCAGTGCTCCCGGACTTTAGATCAAGAAGAATTTATCGAAATTCTTGGTTGTCTATTTTGCCACCTAAGCTGTTCTTCTACGCACATATTTCACGTCTAGTGTAACGGCTCGTCCCCGGCCCATGCCTGAAGTAACCTGTTTCCAACATACGCTTAATACGTAGTTTAATTACTGACCGGTCAGATTGTGCTTAGTCCATACCGAAAGGAGTGATGGATCTGAGGCCTTTTAAGAGTAGACGGTATAATGTTCTCGTTCTTTGTACCGCAAACAATAGCCGTATAAAATACTAACTTACCAGACCAGGCCGCCTGACCCTCCGGATTCCAGTTGTGGTTTCTACGTTTTCACGTAAAGGATACGAAATTTATGTCCAGATGATTTGTGATAGCGACTACAACAATAGAAAGAAAGAAAGGAAGGAAGGAAGGGAAAGAAAGCAATAAAAGGAAATGCTATACACCTCTTACCATCCTCGGCGATGTTGAGTCCTCACACGTCGTCAGCAATGTGTTTGCTTTTGGACAATTTACTCCGAACTCGCGGCTGATATCTTGCTACCTGATAGTATATCCAGAACAAGGAAACTTTCGCTGACCTTCAAAACCAATTCACACAGATGTCTCACGACACCATCAATAACAGTCTGTGCTGGCTTAGATTTACTGGCTGCAGCTCGCTCGTATATTCATAGCTGGCTTTTCGGGAAATAAGCATAGAGCTGGAGGTGGAGGATGTGCCTCCACGAAATATCAATCTGAAGTTCTGATAAAAGTAACTAACGCCTACTAAGACAGTTATCACACTTGTTTGCTGGCTTGAACATCACTGACACTGGCGGAGACAACAGCGGTATAAAAAACAAAAAGAGAGCGGATGAACACCCGTATTCAGCATAATTTTAATGACATCGCATCATCAATATCAGCATCAATGAAACTACAGCGTAATAACAATCTTCTTCGCCGACACCCCGGCTTTCTGAGAATCAAGCCCATTTGGGATATTTCCTAGTCCATGCCCAACTACCACTGGGTCAGGCTTGGCCTTCAACTGCCCAGTGGCCAGGGCATGGGGCACGAAAGCTCCCCAGATGGCCTCCCCAATCCTCTCATTTGGGGGATATGCGATCCCGTAGGAGGTTACTAAGACGTTACTTTACGTATATCAAGGACCGGGTAGAAAAGTGCACATACCATACTTCGGGTGGAAAAAGACGGTAGGTGTATAACACGGGTGCACGCTGACCGCCGGGATGCGCTTCTGAAGCCGCTCAGCTATAGCAGCAAGCCGAGTGAAGCTTTTATCCTCGCCGATAGCATCGTATACACCACATAGATCCACGTGTCTTAGTCTCGTCACTATATCCATGACGACAGTCGGTGACCGATAATCAAAGGCGTCATCTGCCCCCAGAGACCTTACAAACTCATAATTGGCGTGAGACGCGGTGGTAACGACGTGCAAGCCAGAGGCAACCGCCAGCTGAATGACTGTTGCGCCTACAGAAGATGCACCACCCCAGACCAGTAGAGTCTTTCCCCGTGACTCTGGAGTATCTGATGGCAAGGGAAGGTTGAGATATTCCGGAACATATAAGCCTGCAGCGCTGGTGGAAATTGCTAGTGGCAGGACTGCGCCTTGTTCGAAGCTTATGTGGAATGGGATAGGTGCCGCGAGAGTCTGTGAGGCCAGGGAGAACAGCTGGTATGCTGCGTGAGCGGAATTTCCAGATCTGGGGCTATGTAGGTGTCTGTTAGAGTAAGTTATTAGATGCTCTTTGGTTAGAATATCAGTCCAAAGTTACACCTACGCGATCACACGCTGGCCTCTGTGGAACTGGGTGACACCTTCACCAATGTCCACCACTATACCCGCTGCATCTCTTCCCAGAATAAAAGGAAATGTGTTCAGGTAAAGACTTGACTCTCTGTTTTCAGGTCAGGGCGAAATCTTGACGAACAGGCCACTGAAACTTACTGGATCTTCCAGTCTACAGGGTTCTTGCAGAGGTCACTACTTGTTAGCTGGAAACCGATCGGGTTAAACGGCATATTAAAGCGGTCACTTACAACCGCGACAGCATGGTTTCTGATAAGAATCTCCCCCTTTCCGGGCTTATAGAGGGGGGCTTCGCCAATTGTGAAGGGTTTGGATCTGGCAGCAATGATCCAGGCAGCACGATTCTGACTCATTTTGGGACCGAACAAACTCGTGTAAGAGGATTGAGATTTCAGGGAAGATCAACTCCTAGGGTCCTGACGGGAGAAGAGGACGGAGCAAGTCAGCATAGTATTCATTATGCTTGGGCGGGTCGCTCGGATGCTCAGTTACCTGGCAGGCTCCGTCCGATTCTGTTTAATTGGCACATCTACTCTTTGAGTGCTGACCACGGGTACCAGACTAGCGCCACAATTTTACACTAAAACAACAATACTGGTAGCGAGGCTTCCATGACAACTAATACAACGTTTTATCATACAGTAGAGGGAGGGTCTGCGACTAATCTAGCTACTACAGCAAAAGGGATCCTGCGTTGACGCTAATACAGGCTCCCGTGGCGTTTGTATCCTTCATCAGGTAGACGTACGCTTCGGCGACTTCTTCGACCGTCCCAACCTTGCCCAGGGTCGTAGAATCTTTCACACTCTCTGGCATCCCTTCAGATCCCCAGAGAGGCGTAGCGATCACCCCTGGACTAACCAGGTTGACCCGGAGTGGCTTAAGGTCCAAGGCGAGATTCCGCGTGATTCCATGAAGGCCAGTCAGATACCCCCCAACCAACGACCAATTCGGAAAAGGCTTTTCCGAACCAGCTCCCGTTGTTAACGTGAGAGACGACTTCGGACCGGCGTTGAGAAAACGCGGGGCTAGCTTGGCTAACAGGAGCGGGACAGCGAATCGAACATGGCCTGCCCGGCGGATAGCATGGAGATTGATGGTTTCCAGAGGTTGAATGGCAAGTTTGTCGCCTGCCGTGAAGACGATGTGGTCAAGTGAGCCAATGGTGTAAAACAAATGCTCCAGGTTTTTTTCGACGTCTTCACCAGCAAGGTCACAGATATGTGCAGTAATCTCCGCACTGGGAAATTTTTGTTTCAAAGCGACAGCACTCTTGCCCACCCGAGACGCATTTGAAGATGCTATATGGACCTTTGCACCCTCCAAAAGGCACTTCTCCGCGACTCCATAACCAATTCCGGATGAGCCACCAATAACAAGTACCGTGCATTCCTTGATCGATGGCATGGTGAAAATCTTGAATGACCTGAGGTTGTTCAGGGAAGTGAAACAATGTCAGTTAAGGCTACCCAAGGGCGATCATAACCAGAACCGGGCCTATGATACATACTGCAAGCCGTAATATGAAGGGCGTGTTATTAAAATCGATACAGAACTATTTGACATTCGATGATCGCTACTCCCTTTTATAATTTGCATAAAGTACACCCAGTCTCCCTTTACACGATTATTCATCAGCTATCACGCGCTCCGACCAGTTCCGGTGGCCCCTTATGATCTCAGGGAATTACTTGGTAATCTCGTTGACCCATTCCAACGGGGATAACGGACTTAAAGCGGGGAACTCTAAGCTCATGATATCCATGAATTCCATTGGACTCCTGAAGCATGCCGGTGGATGACGGATCGGTCGGTCTTCATTTTTGATTTCTCAGCAACCAACGGGGTCATCCAACTTCATCTCAGAACTTTATTTATCTTAGGAGCCATAAAAAGGGAGGGGCCCATACCCTTACGGCGAGAAGTATAGAAACACTGACATCCTCCCCTAATTGGAAAAGTTTTTCGATCTGCCATATTTCTTCATTATCCAACTGTCCCAAGTATCAATCTCTGATTGTACCAGTGTCCTCAAGATGACGGAAAACGAAGCAGCGTGGATTACTGAGCCAGCAGAATATCCGTTCAAAATCCATAACGCTGCAAAGCCGAAACCAGGACCTGGAGAAGTGGTGATCAAGAATGTCGCCGTCGCTATTGTAATGCCTTCTCTTCCCTCTAGCAATGTATATATGACTGTCACTGACCCGTCCATAAGAATCCTGTTGATTGGAAAATACAGTCAGTAGTGGCTATTTGTCTCCATTCGTGATAAGAAACGTCTCCCTGATTCTGATCATTGTCCAGGAGCCTGGGGCGCTATCTAAATCAGTATCCTTTTGTTTTGGGACAGGACGCTGCTGGTTTTATCGAAGATGTTGGGAGTGGCGTAAATAGGTTCAAGAAGGGCCAGAGAGTGATTGCGTAAGGGTTCCACTGCGACCTAGATAATCATAACGCTAACACCCTGCAGCCACTGCTACGGCCTCTTGACGCAGGATCCGGCGCACGGTGCATTTCAGTTGTATCCTGTTACAGCTGAGTCACTTGTAACCGAGATTCCGGAATCGCTTACCTTTGAACAGGCTATTGTGCTTCCACTGGCTGTCTCAACCGCCAGTGCGGGTCTCTACCGCAAGGATTATCTTAACCTGCCCTTTCCTGAAGCGGATGATGTCAAATCTACGGACAAAGTACTCCTAATTTGGGGTGGTGCATCTTCAGTTGGTGCATCCGCTATCCAGCTCGCAGTTGCATCAGGTCTGACTGTCTTCACTACTGCATCTGAGGCTAATAGAGAATTTGTCAAGTCACTTGGCGCGCATGCAGTCTTCGACTACAGGTCTTCCACTGTCGTAGAAGATATCTCACATGCACTCAGAGGTTTAAATTTTGCAGGAGTTTATGATGCAATCGCTGAAGAGCCGAGTTTTGCAGCTATCTCCGAGATCTTTGACATGCTTGATTCGAAGGTGCCTGTTGCCAGCGTGCTTCCATGCGACCGACCAACTGAGCGATGTATTCCCCAGTATGGTATGTATAAAACTCTTGTGGGGCTAATGCGTTTTTCCAAGTCATTAACGACCGCCTCATAGTCATCGCATACTCCATAATTCAAGAACCGCATAACGATATTGGTGACTGGATCTGGGGAAAGTACTTGCCTCGGGCTCTGGCAAACGGTGCTTTTCAGGCAAAGCCAGATCCTTATGTCGTAGGAGATGGGCTCAAGACCATTCAGCACGGCCTCGACGTACAAAAGAAAGGTGTTTCGGCAAAGAAGGTGATTGTCACACTCTAGGGTCATTAATCAGACAGTTCGGGCTTCCTTGCATTGCTAGTTCAATTGACCGTTTTACGTCCTCGTGTTCTACTGCTTTCCTCTACGTTACTAGTGCTGTTGAAAATAGTCAACATAGCCAGATACTGCACAAATCAAGAAACAATGAGGGCGAAAAGGCCTGCTCTTGTGAAAGTCGTACGACCCACTCGTGCATCCGAGTATTCTCAGTCAACATGGACATTCGTTCAGCATGTGTGTTTTGCTGTTTGCGATCGTAGTGAAGCGACTGAAGGTTAGCTTGAGCATAAACCGGGTAAGGGCTAATTCCGACAGCATCGGACTTCGGGGTTTTTTTAGCTTTCTTTTTTCATATTTCCAGAGAAATAATAAAGTTTCAAGATCCCTATATCCGAGATTTTAGCCGGGGTGGTGAACATAATGAACCGCCCCCTGTTTACAGAGATAAAGTGGGTAAACCAGTTATCCAGCGTGATGAAAAATTGGTTGTCGATTGTGCAGTCACGCTAATGCAGCCTACTGACGGTCCCACAGAGCCAAGTAATTAATAGCCAATAGAATGGCCGACGGATTTTAACTCCGCATGCTAACTTCACGGCGCGTAGCCGAGTATTACTGACGTAACCATTTAAAAAAAGAAGGAATGTTGCACCCGATAGACGAGCATTAAGTCCGCGATTTCCGGTATCTCCATGACAAACCCATCTGCTACAGAAGCCGTCATGTCGCAGGTATATAGTTAACCGAAGCTTTCTGGACCTAAGAGTCAACATATTATTGTAGCCGACCTTACTTGCCCATCGGCGCCAGTACTTTCCGCTAGGACGGAAAGTGGGTAGTCCGCCACAGTGGGTTCTGTCAGTAGGTTGCATTAGTGTCACCGCGCACTCTAGGCGTCCTGGAAAAGAAGTCGGCAAGTAATACTAGTAGTTCCGATCCTTCTGTGAAGACGCTAAAGCCCATCTATGGCGTGGAAGTTTTGATCCTCCTATGAAATCCAGAACGACGTTAGATTGTACAAAGTGTTCTTGTTTGCTCCTCCCTTCAAAATAGTATTTCAGAATACCATAAATACAGCTGTCTAAACCTCAACTCTTAAAACCGCAACACCTGTTACGAAGGTACAATTAATTGATCGGAGTAGCTGCTCCTCCACCGGTAGTAACATAAAGCACATTCTTGTCCATCATTGTTCGGCTGAATGCTCTGGATGTCGGATTGGGTTCGAGCTGGAGTTCAAACTTCCAGAAATAACCTTGCTTTTCCTGTTGAACCAAACCTTCGTTATCCCATTCTGATATATAGTAGCCAAATATGCAATTTCCGTTCGCAGTAACGGCAAAATCGTCTGCCTCCACCATACAAGTGATAATTCCGACGGGACTGGTCACACGACCAGAGACAGGGTCGAGTCGCACGCGGCAGAAGAGCTTCTTTGAAGTGTTCGTCTAGTACGCACGCAGTATTCCCGAGCACATTCAGCCCATTAATCCTTAGAACAAAACCAAGTACCTGTTCTGGTTGCAATATATTGTCTTTAATAGCAGATTCATATACTCCAGTATTGCTGTCGACACCCCAGACATAACATCTGATGGAGTTAGTGGATGTATTAATTTCCTGTACGGAGTTCAAGGTAGTCATCGTATTAAAGAGCTGTGCTTCGGGTATCTTTATAATATATTCATAGCGAGTCGCTGTCCTCTCTGAAATTTAATTTCTAGTCTATATATTTCTTAAGAACTATTGTATATTGACAGCTACATTTCTTGGAAGGCTATCATTTTATATCAAGATTAATTATTAAGAGATCTATATATCAGAAGTATGCAAAAATACTTTTAGGAAAAATTATGTATATTAGATATATAGAAGTAAAATGAGGGTATTTTATATTACCGGCTGTTTTGTACGTATCTAATATATTCATAAAATTCAATTATTTATCTACATATATGTTTTAAAGCCTCATACTCTTCGAATAGTTAAATTATCCCAAATTAGCAGAGTGGTTTCTGTATGACATTATTAGATAGGCTGCTCAACCGTATGGGCCGCGCGATCGTGGTTTACGTTATAGGACGGTAATGCTTATTCTCCTCTTGTTTTTTGTTTGCACGTTTCTATCATTCAATATGCTTTTTGATTCTCGTCTTACCGCTTGAAAATCTGTTTCTTAGGAGAAATTAACTAAATTTTGTCGAAGGCTATACTATAATAAATAATATATGCAGATAAAATAACACAATTCATAGTATAGTAAGCATAATTATTACCTAAGTTTCCACCACTGCCATGCCAAACACTTTGGGAACAATCAAAAATATTTGATCCAGTCACTAACATCACTTATAAACCGACGAGCAACACCTATGCTCACCTCCTCTTCAATAGATAAGTCCGGGTCCTTGTTCTCATAGACCTGCTTAAGATCAAGATTATCTGTCAAGACGATATCACAAGCCTTTTCAATATTCCTCCTTTAGTATCTCGCAATCTACTCTTGATTGCTGCCAACGACTGTACCCCCTAGACAGTGGAAATAACTGGCAGATTTGATGTCAAACCCAGCAGTTCGAGCGCCTGCTATATATTCAAGGCATTCTTCAAGTGGTAAAGTGATAAGTTGTGCGTGGTCGCGTAAGTATTTAGCCTATTTGTCAGCTAACACGTCCTTATCGTAGCTTATCATTCTGTCAGCCAAGGGAATGTCAATCGAAGGGCGTTAACTAGTTAGTAGCCCAAAAGTTATGTCAATTAAAGGGCGTCAGACAACACTAGCACTTAGGTTCGGCTACTGCTGTCCACCATTTATTACTGCTTCATATCCCAATTCTCAAGCTCTATTCTACCAGATTCCCTAATTGTAGTCTCGCGCAACCATTCAAAACTCCTTCCCTCTGTTCACAGTCATTTGCATCCCATTCCCAACACTCAAAATGACCACCTTGCCCCTCCCCACCCGCCTGGCAACCACAACCGATGGCCCTCAAATTAGAGACCTAGTCGAATCCGCCTTCCGCGCCACCGACACTCGCCCCAACTGGACGGGTGACCTCGCCCTGGGAGCGCGCTTCCACGTCACGGTAGACGACATCCTCACCCGCATCACGGAGGAAGATAGTGCAATCCTCATCGCCACCGCCGCCGACGTCGACTCCAATGATGCGCCCATTATCGCCTGCGTCAGCATGCGCAGGCACGCGCCCGGCCTCGCTCGACTCTCGTACTTGGCGGTTAATCGAAGGTATCAGCAGGGGGGTCTTGGACGAATGATTCTGAGTCTCGCGGAAGGCCATTGCCGCGACGTCTGGGGGGTGAAGCGGGTGGGATTAAATGCGTTAGATACGCGGTTGGCGCTGATAAGGTGGTATGAGAGGTGCGGGTATGCGCCCACTGGCGAGGTGACGAGGCTTCAGTTGCCGCCGGATGTGCTGTCTTTTGTGGAGATGGAGAAGGGGGTGGAGGGGGTGGTTAGGCTGAGTTGAATGTGTGGATGGGTATGTGGGATGCAGGATTGGGTTTGGAGCGGCTGCGAAGGCATTAATTGAGGTCACGCTCACGTTCCTGCCGGATGGAAGCTATGTTGTCGGTTATTAAGGTAGATAGAGAGTTTCAGGGATAGTACTTACATGAACTTCGTTGCGAGTGCTTTGCTCTGTTTCTACTTCCTTTTTTCCTTCCTGGGGAGCTGGGTGGCGATGCCATTATCACTAGTGTGCTCTATGACATAGGACAGCGTTTGCATAGTCTTCACGGTTGGCTAGGTAAGTATTTCCGACAAAGCCACATCAAGAGATCTGGATCAACAGTTCTCTCAGTCTACATCAGGATCAATGATCATAATTAGATGTCAGCACAGTATGTCAAACTCACCATTGGAGGATACCCTTCCTTTTGATGAGGCAGGCATTGCTCATTCCACGCCGCAAGGCTTCTAGAAAGCTCCAGTAGGTAAAACTGTACGTGTTGGAAGATCTAGGCATTATATCAGACCCCAGGTGCGTGGAAAAAATCATTGAGACGAGCTGAAAAGTCACCTGTCTTACCCGAGTTATCTGAAACGCCTACAGTATACCGCCTATAATCTGAATCACAGTCATGTCGGCTAGTATGGTTGAACAACCACTATTCTGCCACCTTGCCAGGCTTCCACCCGAGCTAATACTCATACGCATGAAGGGAGATGTTCAGTCTCTGAGCTGTGTCGGGCGGATGGGCCATTTCTTCCGCAATTTGCTGTGTAAAGAGCTCGAGGAGCATGCAGGCAAGTATGCCGTGTATACACAACGCGTTGATTATCTGTCGGGCCGGGAGGATTCGTATACTTGCTTTGCCATTCGAAAGTGGTGGTGCGCAGGTACTATCATACGAATTTATGCACAGCCTTTCTATGACTGAGACGATGCAGCTCATGCTCGAAGCGATCGCTAGTCCTGACTTTACGTTGGGAAACAAGAACGGCTTGATGCTCTATGCCACTAACCTTAACCAACTATCCTGTGCCATCTGCTGGGATAGATTGTTGAAGACTTGAAGAGGCGCTTTCAAGCCAGTCTATAAGCAAGATTAATCATCTACAGGGATTTTTATGATATCAAGAGCTGAGGACATATACTGAAAGGATGTATGTGTGGGCTTAATGGAGATACCGCAGATGTACATTAGAACCTGGGTTGATAGGTCAGTGATAGTTGCCCTTTCGGCTGAGCTGCCGGGCCTTAATAGATTGTGTGTGTGTGTGTGTGTTTTCAGATGACTGTTATTAGTAGCAAGGATCTTCTTGACTTTCTATATAGCAAGAGAAAGATTAGAAGTATATATTATAATGAGGACTATACAAGATAGCTAAACGGCTTTACTAGCATGTCTAACTTTGAATAGTTATATAGAATCAGAAATAGGGATACTTAATGGGCTCATTGTGTATCACGCCACCGATACTCACCATAAAACCCAACAGAATGGCATGGAAACTGGATTTCAGCTGGGTAGCTACTGTCGCTGCTGCTCCTATGCCATGTTCTCGACTGGATAAGCAAGTAATAACCACATTATGCCTGCCAGTTTGTCGAAAGAACTGCATTATAGCCATATTGTTCACAGGCATTTCTTCGTGCCGCAAATCCAGCTTTGCTGCGGCTGCGACCACCTCTAATGGCAGAGCTCATAGTAATGCAATCGTGTAATCATCAGGCGACACAGGGGCTCTCTTCGCTACTACGTTTTCATTTTTATTAAGGTCTATAAAGTGGTAGCAGCGGCACGTAACCTTTGGCAGAGAGAGAGAGAGAGATAGAGAGAGAGAGAGACCATGGGAATCAGCTTGTTAGCAGGACACTATTCTTGTGGTAAAAGTCCAGATAAAGAGGTTCTCCACGCGATTAAGCATTTTGTATATAGTATTTAGTGATGCTGTGCTTGACAAGGCGAGCTGGTGTATAGTATGGGAAGATATCAACTCCCAGGGAGCCTTATTGATTGCATCTTTGATATATAGCTGCGATAGGGCTTACTTGATAGGCTTATTGCTTTCTACGGATGAAATCTTTCACATATGGATAGAAGAAGATGTCCTTTGCCCTATAATGGGTATATACCGCCACAGAGATATTATATATCTAGCAGATTATTCTTGTTAATTATCAATGATAGTCTGAATGTAGTGGAGCTTCTGTCCAACTAATTATAAAATATTAAGTGATAATGCTTGTAGAATAAGAATAAGTGATATACTGTACTTATTTTTAGATAGCCCGTTGCAAACTAAAACCTAATCTTGAATTGTGGTGCTTTTCTTTGTTTTCTACTTGATACTGGTACTCACTCCTGGAGCCCTTTGAGCATAATATGATTATAAGTATTTGTCTTAAGAAGAATGAGAATTTAGAGATTAATTTAGACTTTTGTAGATTGGTACAGAACATGATTTAAAATATATAGTATTCATGATGAGGACATCTGTTATTGCTAAGGATAGTATGCTGTATAGGCCAGCGTTGCAGTGGTTATTGAAACAAATATATCATGATCTACAATTTCAAGCGCATAAGTCCAGAAATCTGGTCAATTCTGAACGCGCAACCAAACCTCTAAATCAGCACTCTTCCATAGAGCTGAAACACGAGCAATGGCTTAATAATGCGGAAAATTTGAATCCCCGATATAGTAGTCATATTGGTTGACAGATCAGATGTCCACACAAGTACTGAGCAAGAAACCTAAGATAAGAATTACTTTCGAAGAAAGAGAATATAATGACTCTATCACCCTCACCAGTATAGTGCCATCTAGCCGGCAGGCCAGCTAGAAAGCACCACCGCTCTTCATTGCACCGGGGAAGTCATTCTGCATAACCTCCCAGAAGGGCTTGCCACCCATTTGCAGATCCTTGAACGCCGGACAAGTGACATTCAGCAAAGGCACGGAGAGTGCATTCGTGATAAATTCCAGCGGCTCTGCAACGCTCTTGAAAAGTCCAGATAGCGCATTAGGACCAGCAAATTTCAGCACCTCGAACGCCAAGCACAATAGATTGTTTCCCTCAAGAAGGTTACCCAGGTTGAAGACACCGCCTGTCAAATTTCCGAGATCAACACCAGCAAAACTATTCACGGTTCCTGTGTTGCCTCCAATGCTGCGATTGCATCAGTGTCAGAAATTTGATCGGAAAAGGTGGGAATTAGCGAAGATTTCTCACCTTCCGAGCTCGGGGTACTTCGACAGCCAGTCAATTATATCCAGGTTCAATTGGACAAGGCCAAAGTCAACTGGAGTCTTGTACCAGTTGTCTGGGATTCGCTCCCATCCTTCCCTGTAGGTGAAGTTACCTTCCTCTCCATAGATTCCGTAGAAGATCCGAATATGCTCCTTGGCTACAGATGGTTAGTATGTTTACGCGTCGAACAATCCTCTCATCTACTTACTCAGAACGCCGTTCGGCTCATCTTGAGAATAATTCCGGAACAACCGCGCGGGGAAGATATACCCTGCGTTGCGCGCAATCAGGCCGGTTACAGGGCCGTAGTAGAAGTTCGGATTGCTTTGGACGGTCTCGTCGAAACGTAACTTTGCGCGCTTCGCCATGAGGTCCATGTCGAACGTCCCATCAGTGGACATGTTGTACCATGACATGAAATTGTCCATGTTCAGTTTATGGTTATTGCCCGTGACGTAAATGTCGTCGCGAGTGTTGGAGGAGTCCGACTCGATGAAGTTGTGAGAGCCGATGAGGCCCTGGGGATCACCTGCAGTCATTTGAATAAGGGGGATGCCATGGAAGGTCAGGGTACTTTAGAAGGTTCACGCACCCAGTAGTCCTCCTAGGTTTCCCAGCAAGTTGTTTACACCAATGTCACGGCCTCCGATGGAGAAGCTTGGGTCTAGAGACAGCGGATTCCCAGTCCAAACTGTGCCCATGAGAGCAAGGACAGTAGCAAGGTCAACGCCCATACCATACACTAAAATCGTTAGCAGCTGATCTCATCCTGGAATGTGTGCTCTATGTTATACCTTTGTTGATGGCCGTGATCGCACCCCCGAACTGTCTCTTGTTAGCATGACGACTGGCGCGACTGGGCTACAATCTTCCCACCGAAACCACGCCGTTACGTGGGATATAGCCATGATTTGCCAGCGCATTCAAGCCCGGGCAAGGACCTCTTTGGTCGCCATTTTCAAAATCCGGAGGTTGAAATGCGTGCTCTCCAGTGACTAAGTAGTGCAATGTTAGTGAACCAGTTGTGGAGTAAAATTTCGAGGCCTACCATCAACGGGAGACTTCAATAACTCCGCAAGAAGGCCTTTATCGTATCTTGGCACGTCTTGTTGATGGCCATTGGCATATGGACATCTCTTGTGCATAGCCGCATGCTTCGAATGGCTATGTTCTGTGAATCCTGCAACAAGAGGGGCGGCAGCCAGGGGCCAGATCCACAGTGGTGTAGTAGAAATACGCATGACGAATGAGTGACTTTGGTCGAGCAAATAGATAAAAGAGAGAGGGGGGAGAAAGCTTTATATGCGAACCATAACAAGGAAAGCAAAAGTGGTATTAACCTCTACAAGCACCAAGGTGAATATGACTGGGAATTGAAACCGAGGTTTTGGGACTATTGTTTAGAACAATGCTCTTTATACTCCACAAAATCTCCCGTTGCCTGCCGGAAATGGCTAGTTAACGTAATCAACGGTCGAGCGGACCACACGCTCAGGCGGGCCAACCTGCTATCCCACATGAAAGATACCTTTTGAATTCCATTATATCTCAGCCAATACCATCCTTAAGCACTAACTATATATCTATATATCTATAGAGAGAGAGAGTGTGTGTGTGTGTGTGTGTGAGATGAGATATATAAAGGTACTTCATGAATTTCCCAGATTCCTGCAAATGTTATTTTTATGTTTATATAATAGACAAATTCCTGTTTGATACACATAAGATACAGGTATTTCATGTCATTAACTATCTATGTAGCTATGTGAATTTTGTAAAGAACATTTATATTATTTATATCATCCTAAATTCACATACCAAAATCAACTCTTCTGGAGTTTTTATAGTTGAGATACCTTGAATTTGATAAGGTATCTTTAATATAGAATAGCAGGGTGGTCTAGCTCACTGTGTGGCCTGTAGCGTCTTTGACTACTGATTATGTTATGATCCAGAAGTGCTGATTAATTGCTTCACGGTGAGAGGATCATCGGTTGATGGGCATCAGGGGCATAAAGAGAACCTGCAGTCAATCGTCCTAACTTAGTCCTTGCTATATTCCGAGAACTCACTCGCAAGTCGACCGTAAGTGAGAGCGCGAGCTAGCTAATAGTAGGGCCCGACCGCCAATGGTTTACGGGCTAGTGAATTACATGCCCCCTTTCGGGGTAGAAAAATACCTGGATAGTGGTTGGGTTCTCTGGGAATCGTCTCCATTGGCGAACCACCTGTCAAGACGGTAGTTGTCCACACCGGCATACTGTCAGGGGCAGTCCAGTGCCTGCTATCGCCAAGGTTTGACATCCTTAGTGCTGTGTAGCGCACCTAGATGGGGTCGGAAATTTCAGGGTCTGCCGTTAGGCCTTGGCGTATCCACCGCACTGTGGTTTGTGTCCACTAGGCTGTCTCACCAACCCGAATGTGTCAAACCTTAAGCCTATCTGTACGACTGCCGGATTGACAATGGGCTTACAATGATAGATCACTTTCTCAATTTGGAAAGAAGCTGGCTCCGCTAACAAATGGATTATTATTCGAGACTAGGCCCGTTCACGTTGGGCTCATCATGCTCTAGTGGCGCTAGATGCTCTAGTAGCCTCGAGGACGGAATTTCACCGAGCTACTCTGTCAGATTCAGGCAAGACCAGCTATGAAGAACTTATTCAGGGTAATATGCCGTCCGGGACTGGCTCCATCTCGACACTGGCACGAGTCACACCAAGTGGCCTTTTTTTGAACTTGGCATGCTACGGCAGGGGGATAATAAAGAGCCTCCCGAAAAAGAAGGTTTGAATGTTTCTCAGTCCATCACACACGTTGTGGGGCACGAGGACAGCTGCAAGCCAATAAACAATATGCACTTCAGTTATCCAGCTTGGCTATAGAGTGAAGTAGACGGTAAGCTCATGCCTCAGCCAAGCTACCTACCCTTTTGGGATGGGGCAAGCACAGAAAGAAGGGCTGTTATCCTATGAGAATAGCCAAGGTGAACCTGATAATAACACAGGAAAGGCACGAGATATCATCAAGATTCTATAGCCACATTTATAATAGAGCTAAAGGGGGACTAAAACACCCAAATATTCAGCGCAGATAGGCGGGATGGGGCGAGGAAAGGTTCTTGAACAGTTGTAGGACGTGAACAAACTGAGATGTAAATGAATAAGTCGGCCATACTCGTAGCGGTCTAATATAGCGCTTAGTGCCCCACACGGAACTTAGACCTGATTATGGAATAATAATGATGATGATTTACCCTCAGGATTAGAACGCGACTTGTCGAAATGCCGATTGCGGAGAGGACTCCCCCAACGTCTACCGGTAGTGGGTCCTCTCGGGATAGATACTAGAGGCGTGGCGCCCACAGTAGTTAGCGGGTCATTCCGACTCAAGGTATTACTTCTAGTATCTGTTAGGGCTTGCGATGAACGGGAACCAGATAGCTATTGCTGCAAAATGCACATCCTAATAGACACTCAGCCCAGTGATTCGAAAAAGATGTCAGCGAGAGCCAGTGTAGTTTCTTTTCCTAGTTCTGGACTTTCAGAAGTCAACTCACGACAACTGCTTTCAGAGAGGATTTGCAGACCAAATAGGAGACTTTAAGTATTGCGCACCCAATGTAAAAGGTGCTCCTGAACCTTCAATGCCGATTACGGGCGGATGATGGACTCTGCGAAGATTGGATCTTGATATTCTTAAACATATTCAATTCTTCCTGCCAGAAACTGCTGTGCTTCTTGCTCCTCACTACAGGCCCATCAAGATGCGTATGTTGGGCGCAGTAGCGCTGGGCGTCGCCCTGCTATCAACGACTATAGTGGCTGTTAGTGTGAAAGAGCTGGGTGCATTGTTGCCCACATGTGCGGTAGGCGACATTGATCAGTACCCCGGGGTTGCGATACTGACCTTTTGTAGGTAAAATGCATGGCTGTCACTATACCGAAGACGTCCTGTAACCTCGCAAATCAGACATGCCAGTGTACGGATGAAACCTATACCGCTCTTTTGCAGGAATGTGTGGTATCTAGCTGTACCACCAAAGAGTCGTTGAGTATGTTGGAAGTACCTTCTTCTCTAAGTAGAGTCACTGATTCGATAGCTACGAAAAATGTCACATCCACTGCGTGCGGAGCTCCTGTACGAGATAAAACCAAGGCTGTTTCATATGCAGGTGTCATCGGTCTTGTCATAGCATGTATCGCATTTGTTCTCCGGATAGTCGCGAGGTTTAAGTGCCTTGGTGGTACGTTCGGGATGGATGATTTGACGATGGGACTGACAATGGTACATACCCAGGACCCTCGTAACTAATATTCTAATATACTGACAAATCACAGTGTCTGGTGATACCTCTTTCAGCACTATCAGTTGTTTGTATGAATCTCCGTGGGATATGATATATATGTTGCATTTGCCCTGACTACCTCATACAGTGGCCGACACGGGTTTAGGCAAAGACATGTGGACTCTTCCGTTTGAAAATGTTACCCGCATTCTATACGTTAGTTTCCCATGTTACCCCAGTGTCCGTGGTTAAGCTGACCTTCTTGAACACTCTAAGATTTACTTCTGGGATGAGTTATTGTATCTCAGCATCCTGCCAATGACCAAGATCTCGATATGTTGTTTCTACCTTCGTATCTTCCCCGCCAGAAACTTCCGAACTTTGACTTATATTGTCATTGGTCTCAACATTGCATATTTACTTGCCTTTGTCTTGGTTTCAATCTTCCAGTGTCGACCAATCCAAGGAGCATGGCTTCACTGGGACGGAGAGGGTAATTACAAGTGCAACCATATTAACGCGCAGGGGTGGGCATCGGCAATCATCAACATGCTCCTTGATCTCATTGTCATGATTCTCCCGCTGAACCAGCTTTACAAGCTCCAGCTTTCCATCAAGAAGAAGGCTTTTGTCATGTGCATGTTTAGCTTGGGTATCTTGTACGTGTTCTTGGAACCCACTCAACGGCTGATATCGCTAACTAGGAACCTTGAACAGTGTCACTGTCGTGAGTATTCTGCGCCTGGATTCACTTATCAACTTTGCTTCCACCGATAATGTGACGTGTAAGTGCTGGTTAAATTATTCATGGTTGAGATTTGACTCACAATTCACTAAACAGGGGACTACGTCACAGTTGGATACTGGAGTACGGTTGAATGCCATGTAGGCGTCATCTGTGCCTGTTTACCCGCCATTCGATCCTTGCTACGCACAACGGCACCGAAGCTGTTTGGCGATACAAGCGTCAATAAATCCTCCGGAATGAACTCGACATCTCGGGGGACAGGATCTCGATTGGAGGGGGCGTTCCATGTGAGGAGCAAGCATGATGACCAAGATTTTCTACCGCTAGTAGACATGGACCACTCCAGTCAGATTGAGCTGCACCCGAAAGGGTAGATGAGAAGAAGGAGATTATTCATTGTTATGGGGAAGAGGCGCAACGCTGTTTTGTATTTACTTTGTATTACTTGTACTTTTAATTTTGTAAAAGCGACCGATGAGTTCTATCTATGAGCTCTTGCAATCTTTATCCAGTTTCTTTTGCTTCAGAATTCCACTTTCCCAGATGGGGTCAACAGGACCTTGTTTTTAGTGAGTTATGGCCTGATAATGCAAGAGTTTGAACTCCAGTCTACTATGCAAGGAGGGCTTGGAAGCTACTCTTGCGAAATCGACTGTTCTAGTACAGATGGGGTGAGGAAAGTTAGGCATTCACTTTGTGAAGGAAAGGGGATAAACCAAAATTTCAAGATTTCTTTTTCTTTTTCTTTTTCTTTTCTTTTTTATTTCCATTTTTGTGAACTCAGACTAGAAAGAGCTCGTACATACTCAGGTGTCAGAAAAAGAAAAGCCATCCCACTGGCTTGGATGATACGCCTCTGTCTCCAGACATGCATACTTACCCGGCAGGTAGAGAGTGCAAAACGTGCTTACGTTTCATTTTCTCCGCTCAATCCGCCAAGCTTTCCCTTTTTCATTTACATTTGAAGACTAGTTAGAAGATGGGCCCGCAAGGGCCCAGTTCATAATAGTTTTCAAGTAGGTACTTGACAACTGCACCTAGTTCGAATAGCTATATATTAAGTGCCGCGTCGTAGAATGGCATCAACCGGCTAGTTTGTAACTTGCCTCTTTTGGAGCCATCGCCTTTGCTGATCAGGACTGGTAAAATACACACAGACAAACCATTATTACTCCTCTAGGTCGTGTTTGGACTCATCATTGTTA